AAGTAGTAGTGATATATCGGTGAAGTATAGGGGGGACCCTAGGAATAATCATCTAATGGGTTGACGGTGGCATTATTACCCCAAAAGGGGCAAGGGGGGTCCTAACTTTATTTGCCCTGAGCCCTTTAGCCCTTCTTGTAACCCTTTAGACTGCACGGCTTAGGGCTTAGGGCTTTAGGGTTTCGGGTATCAGGGTTTAGGGACTAGAGCTTCGGGTTTAGGGCTTAGACGGTGAAGTCTCGGCTGCTCCTGCTTCACCTGGCCTCACGCACCCAGGTTCCAGGGGAGGTCGGCAACCTGCCACATGCAGTGCGTGGAGGGCTTTCGGAAAGGGGCTAGGCTCAGGGATTTAGGGTTTAGGGTTTAGGTTTTAGGGTTTAGGGTTTAGGCGTTGGGGGTTAAGGTTCGGCTTCCGTGGATGTTCTTCCAACTACCTCCGAAAGCAAACCTCAAGGTGACGGGAGCAGCTTGACTATACATTAAGAGTTCACTCTGACAACATGCATGCAGCTAGGTTCAAGAGCAACAATAATGGCATTGCCGACCACACAGTAACACTAAGAATACCACACACAGAGCAATGTTGATGAGGATCAGCATAAGGAGCATGGTTAGCATAGTCGCGCAGAAGCAGCAGGGGAGGGAGGAGAAGGAACCACGGCAGCAGTAACTAGCATCTTCGTATACGTATACCTTAAAATTCAACAATAACAACAGAATAGCGATCACCCTGAGAATGCTAACGTTCATTGCAACACTACCGAAGACAGAAAAGCCTGCAACCCCAAACCTTAATGCCATAAAGCCCACACCCTAAACGCCAAAAGCTGTTGATTGACCAACACACCTATATCTTTGTACTTACGTCTGTATCTGTTTATGTAAGCATCCTAAACCCTAAACCCAAACAGTGGGATCCTTATTATAAGGACCCCAAAATAAGGTACCCCGTATTTTCGGAAACTCCCAAATCATGAAAACCCCTAAACCCTAAACCCTAAACCGTGCAGGATCCCGGGCCTGGGCGGGGGCCGCGGGCCCCCTCGCGGTGGTGCCACAGTCATCCGCAGATTTGGGTCGAGGATTGCAATCTAAAAATTCTAGGCCTTTTTAAGGTCCGCAGTTTGCAATCTAAAAATCTAGGCTTCTTAAGGTCCGCGGTTTAGACGGTTTAGGTATTTAGGCTTGCAGGTGAAGGATGTCTCAAGACCATGGGGTGCTGTGGGCCTCGGGGCTTAACTCGTAGGCTCTTCGCTGTACGTACCTACCTGCCTACCTACCTACATACATACAAACATACCCGCACAAGAGCAGACTGGCAGGAAGGGGTGCAGGGGTGATGCCCGGTTAAGAGGATCAGCGAGTCATGGTTGCAAGATGTTTCAAGGCTTGTGGCAGTCATAATTCCAAGACAATCTGCACCTGCTTCAATCTGCTGGAATTACATGCACGATCCCGAACTCTCCTAAAGATCCTCCTGCCCTTGAACCGAAATTGCAGCTCATCCTAGTCAAGACTTCGGGAACCCTCGCAGATTCTCTGGGATGAGTCGGACATCACTTGCACAAAACATGCACCAGCTGCCAGAAGCAAACGGAGCATTCAGTGCATGAGCCAGGGATAGACCTTGCTTACGGCTGCGATCCCTGCCTTTGTGAAGGCTTCATATCACAAGACATTGATGCAGTCTGCCAGAATGTCACCCCTCGCTGGCCGCTGGCCGAAATCCCTGAGTTCTTTGGCCATATATGCAAAGTTCAAGGCTTCGGCGTGGAGTTTTTGAGTTTACCAGATGTTTCAATATCGGATTCAGAAGGCTTGTTGGCAGCGGATCTTTTTCGATGATGCAGCGGATGCTTCACTCCTTCACAGCATGACTGTACTGGTTCTACGCCTGCCTCCAATGATTCGTTCTGAGTCTCTGCTCTGTACTACGGCTACAACGGGGAAGGCACCCTGTGAACCGGACAATAAATCAGCTAGAAGACGAGCATCTCAACCATCCATCTCCCTTTTGTCTTTTTTTTGCAGCGGCAACCAGCCTAAGCAGCCTCACAGGAAAAGCAAACTCGCTAGCAAAGCCTAGGACAGGCTCAGTAGACACGGACAGGTCAGGTGGAGATGCGATCCGCAAGGAGCCAAAAACCCAAGACCTGCCACATTCTCTTCGAACACTGTCGATGCATCGACTAACTGAAAATGAGCGTGAAAAAAAAACACATCTTCGGTCGAAAAGATTTCATCGCGGCGGGTCCGAGGAATTCTATCTTTGTTGGGGATGTCTGATCAAAAAACATTGTCCTGATTATACTGACTGTTCAGGCTCCGAGACCTCACCTCAACCTTCTGATGTGGTTCCGAAGCTTTTGCAGTTAAGGGCTCAGGAATGTGCTTTGAAGTACCTTCAACCCCAAGGTTCGACCTGTTTAAGGACTTCTGTTAGGAAGTCTGAATAAAGATACGGGTGCTTTAATTCCAGTGCCTCCCCCCAAAAAACGAATCCCAACGTCAAGGACTTCAAAGGCGAACGTTAATCGAGACGACCACCGCGAGATGTTTGAGTTGAAGGCCCAGTGAACGCCCCATGCATATGGGGATTTCGGAAAATAGGGGACCCTAAAATTATCCTACAAAGTAGGATCCTTATCATAAGGGCCCCAAGATAAGGTACCCCTAATATTCGGAAAGTCTCATATGAAGCAGATGCAAGAGTGGCTTAGAGCGCTGCGCCAGCCTGCTCTCTTTTTCATGTCTCGGGCTTAGTGGTTTAAAGCTTAGGGTTCAGGGTACTCTGTAAGAGCCACCCATTCAAACCACCTCGGTTCAAGTGCACCTCCAGGAGCATCCAGCTCCTCGGCGATCGTGGCCTTTAGTAAAGAGCCAGGAAACATCACAGCATTTGGGCGGACACTCAAACCGGAAATTGCAGGCACAACAAACGCGCTGCCTTCATGCTGCACGACTTGCAGTCTGTCTAGCATGCAATGAGCTCCGCGCAAATCACGGCTTCATCTGAGAAACATTCATGTGCGGCATTAATCGTCTCCGATGCACGCATCGGAGAAGGACCACGAACCATGTCACCATGTCCGCAATTCCGATACAAGCCAACCGGCCGGAGGCGGCCCTGATCCGCCGGCCGGACTGTGACAACATGAAACAAAGGTGACGAAAAGCATACTAGCATTGAGCGTCGTAATAATACGAACGAATACACAGGCGACATGGTTGCTAGTAATAGATGTACGTGAGATCCGAGAGCACGAAGGACTTGACTGAGTAGACGATGACCGAAATCTTCTTGTGCGCCCCGATCCTCACGAAGTTGGCCCAACCCCGTCCGGTTCCGCCTGGGGTGACAGGAGAATTCTCCATGGTCTTCCGCTCCGAACCCACTACGAGGTCACACTCGATGATGGAGTCCTTGTCTCCGAAGAGGTACAACGATGCAAATCCGTCCTCCGCAGAAGTCGCCCCTTGCGGGAAATACTGAAACCAAGCAGTTAGCCTTGTAGCGGCGATCTCGAAGGGTGGGCTATTCACGGAAAGTCCCTTGGTCAGTGTGGAGAGCTCTTGTCTTGAGATATCCCATTCAATCGTCATCATGGGCTGCTGGTAGCTGTGCAGCTGGGTCTGCTCGTCTCTTAAGCGTTCAATACAGTCCTCCTGCTCACTACACTTGGCTTGCATCTCTCGGCACTCATGCTGCATCTGCAGGAGCCTCCGGCTGAGAATGCTCAAAACTAAATGAAGAGCCTCCTGGCTGTAGCCACTCATGTTGTATGCCTGCAGGCTGGCCTGCTGAGATTTCACCTGGCTGCTTGCAGATCCGTCCTCCTCCAGCTCTTCGCTCATCGTCATCAGAATCTTCGCGCCATCTTTGCCGCGTCCCGAAGACTCGAGCTGTTCCGCGAGCTTCACCACCATCTCCGGCTCCACCGCCAGTGCACGGATGGTGCGGTCTTCGAAGCCCATCTTGGAGAGAAACTCTTCTGGGATGCTACCATGCACGTCGAGGAGGAAGCTGATGAAGGCATCCTCATTCTCTATCTTGCCTTTGGACTCCAACTCTTGTGTAAAGCACTGCGTGAGCTGCTTCAACACTTCTGCATCTCTGGGATCAACATAATGTGCCTCCATCAACAGTTTCTGTCGATCCGCTTCGTCCTCCTGTTGAGAACACATGTCCAGCAAGAGCTTGACCTGTGCCTCTGCCGTGGCTTCAGCCGGATCGTCGAAGTCCAGAGTAAGGCGGAAGAAGTTCTTCGCATCCGACAAGGCCATACCAGGATTCTGCATGTATTGGAGGGCCTTCCGGGAGATTACGCAGGGAAGCGGACCGGGAACTCCGAGGATGCTGTAGCGAGCTGCCAACACCAGCCCTGCCGCCATAATCCATTCAGGGTTTCCGCATGCTGCACGCGTCTTCACAAACTTCCACAACTTTCGGGCACCTGCTTGCTCACCTGAGTGAACAGCGAGCCTGCACACCTGTTCCCGGTCAACGGCGTGGCAACAAGCTGACCTAGGGGCGACATGCGCCGCCAGACAGAACCTCGCAACCGTTTGGTCATCGAGCTCCACAAGCAAGGACTTCAGACCGAGCTTGCAAAGGAACCTTTCCACCACCTTCTTGAGGTCGACCGCAGGATCTGCGCACATGGTCGTAAACTCT